TGTCTAGTCTGTTTCAAACATTTCAAATTTATGTTCTTTTTATTGTTCAGTCCACATTGTGGAAATAGAGGACACATGATTTTTACAAAGAGTCGGACAGTGCAGCAACTTCTTCCAGTTGAATCCAATGTTCACTTTTGAGATTCTATTTTACCACCTGCAAGGTCGATCATTTTTGGGTATTTTACTTTCTTGTTATCTAATTGTTCTTGGGACCACAGTAGAAGTTTTAACAACTTGGCAAGCTTGGGTGTAGACTCTCTATTTTCCATTTCTAAGATTGCAGCGTTGAGTTCACTTGCAACCTGAAAAAGAGACAACAGATATGTAAGTACACATTGTGTGCTTTGCATTGAACAACAAATATTGCATGCTACAGAAGTGAATACGCATACCATATTTGCTCTATTAGTAGCACATGAGGTGTGTCTAAGGTTACAGCGGGCGCAAGATATTTACATACACCTAACACCGAGGGACTTTGCAACATCCCCAGACACTTCCCTATATGCTCCAACAAACGTTGTAGACACAATAAAGTTACATACACACCTACGTGACAGTTAATCAAAACAACGGACCAGGGTTTCCAGCATACAATAAATGCACTTCTAATAAAACAAGCAGCCTATCGGCTGAGATAGCTCCGCTGTTAGCAATGCACATTTCAATTAAAGAACTGAAGATATCATTAGAAAATGAACAATATGTATAGTATCAAAGCAAAGGACCTTGCTGTTTTTAACAAGAATTCGAAAGAATCACTTTCTATCAAAAATGACAAAAATATTCACCAAAATTAGAGAATTGAAGATATCATGAAATGAACAAATCTGAGAAAGGTCTACATGTAGTACCTATATATGTAATATCAAAGCAATTGAACTTTTGGTTTTTAACAAGAAGTCGAAAATATCACTTTTTACCAAAAATTACAAAAATATTCACCAAAATTAGAGAATTGAAGATATCATCACAAAATGAACAAATCTGAGAGAGGTCCACATGTAGTACCTATATATGTAATATCAAAGCAATCGGACTTACAGTTTTCAACAAGAAGTCGAAAATATCACTTTTTACCAAAAATGACAAAAATATTCACCAAAATTAGAGAATTGAAGATATGAACATGAAATGAACAGACCTAAGAAAGGTCTACCCAAGGTACATATACACCAAGTATCAAAAGCATTCAAGCTTGTAGTTTTCAAGAAGAAGTCGAAAAAGTAAAACATTGACACAGACAACGGACAATCACTCATATGATAAGCTCCGCTGGACAAAGTCGACAGCGGAGCTAACAAATATGGTAGCTGCCAAATATTAAGAAATTTCATTTCCATTCTCCACAAGCATACTATTTTTTACCAATACACATTTAGCCATGATTTGAATATGCATTTAAAAATAAGAATCCGTATTTATTTCAGAACAAAGATACGAATGTGTACATGTTCTTGTTGATAGAAATACAGCTTTGCTTCGTGAAAGGTATGTATTCATAAAGTACATATGTACGGAAGGGAGAAACCTACATTATAAGCCCCCTTTGTCTGACAGGGACTAAAATTGCATTATTTCAAAAGTAATCAGTATGAAAGCCTAAACAAATCTTTGCTAGATTTTTGTAAAGTAGTTAGACTACATAAAGACCATGGACTATGTTCACCCCACCAGCTAATACCTTTTGCCTTGATGATGGATGTACTAGTTCTCGCTACAAAGAGCAATAAACAGTGTTTACCCACCACAGACCTTTTGCTTTTGTGCTGGATGCAGTAGTTCTGACTACCAGATCCAAGGATGATGTTCACCCCCAACCAATGATAACCCTACCTTTTGCCTTTGTGATGGATGCAACAGCTCCGCAAAGGGTGAACTTTCTGGATTTTCAAAAGCCAACAATGCTAATGTCCTTTCCAGTTCGGGTAAGACATCTGAATTTTCTTCTCCTCGCTCTGCAAGATGTATCTGTGCATACTCTAAGGCCTGTTCAATCCTTTTGTTTCTAATAAGCTCTATAAGATGTTGTTGCTGAAATAAAAACAGCAAACACTCAGTGAAAACATTCATACCAAGTTTCTAAAATGAACCAACAGCTCATTTGTGAAAGAAGAAAGAACAGGTAGCCTCATTCCAACTATAATTTGTGATGTTCGTAAATGTTAGCCATGTGCTTTAAACAATTGTCTCCAAAATTGTTTACATTTCATAAAGCTTTATCTGATTATCTATTTTGACCTGATTGCTAAATTTGCATACTAACTGGTCAGAAAGCAGTCTGATTCATATTTGATTTTGTTATATTTTGTTGATTTTTATTTCATATACATCTTGAGCAAATGATGTATACTATACTTAGTGATCAGTGAAGATCAAAAGTTATCACGAAATAGAAAGTATGGTAACATGAAAAAACACACACCATGAACAAGACTATCAAAAAAAGTTATTTACAAGATTTTAGAGAGTTTAAAGGATGTAATTTTGTCTGCACAGATCATTTCACTATAAGTGGCTTGTTATGAGAATATGTCAAATATGGTTGTGAACAAAATAGCTTGTATCCTGAAAATAATCATTCTTGCAAAATTAGTTTGCAAAGTGTGTTTTTCAAAAATCATATGAAAGAAAGAATGAATGCAGGATTTGTGGCTTGGGTATTTTTTATAATGATGTCATTGTCATTGCGTTATGAGACATGCATGTATGAGAAATGATGGTTTCAGTAGAAGGACACGCCCACTCTGAATCTGCTACTGTGAAAGTATTTTACTTTGTCGCATTTTAAATCATTCCCTATGTGCATATGGAGAATACTGTAAAATCTGTATTAGAAACCACGGTTTCTATTAAAATGGTATAATGCAACAGAAGGGATGCGGCTTCTATTAGAGCATCTACACATATGAGAAATGATGAATTTTTGGTTCTCAATTATTCAGAAAGAATGGGTGCGGCTTCTAATACAGGTTTTACTGTACTCCAGAATACTTCCTGCAATAACCTTGTAATAATTTGAGGCTGTAACGTTTAGTTTAGTTATTCGCATAATGATATTGATACATTATCATTGAACATCTCGTGAGTATTTAGACTCAGTTCCAGGCCGAGCAGTTGAGCAATAAACACCATGGCTACAAGTGCTCCTCTCCAGTGCGTTATTCGCCTCCCGGATTTTGTGACCAATACTCACTTGGTTCACTCTACCTTGAGAAGTCTGTTCTCAGTTTACAAACCTAAAATTAAATTTTTTAATATTAATTTGCTACCTACCTGTAAATGGAAATATAAATATCTGTCATTATCTAGTAGTTCAGGATGTAAATCATTGACCAGTGCTATGGCGTCTTCTATCCTCCCATTTTGAATGGCATCACGTATTTGTATTCTTTCATCTAACGTATCTAAATCTACACTTGGCTGGATACCGACTCTATCTTGAACTTCTCAGCTGCTTCTTTAAAACCCTCTGAAAGGAAAAACAAATAAAATGTAGAAAGCAATGAGGAAAAGTTGTGACTGTGGCCACGTGATCCCTGGTCAATTAGAATACTCTTTCTAAAACCCTACAAATATAAAAGTGATTAATAAAAACTACCGGTAAGTGGCAAAAATAAAATATTTTTATTTTGAAAAAAAGTAGTGACTGGAAGCAAAACTGCTGTTGCTGTGTTAATGTGCTGTTGCTGTGTTGTTTTCAGTAGTACTCCAATTACCAATACAAAATCAAATACTGTACTTTGATTTACCATACCACTCATTTTGCTGTTCCCCTATTAAATTTTGCAAGTGATGTCTGTAATTTACAAACAGAAACAATGGTGTGGTAATCTTCTAGATTGTCTGTCTGTGATCTCTACTTCAAAACAGATTATGTTTGATAAACATGCCAGTTATATTCCTTTCATAAACAGAAATATTTAAAGTTTTTTTGTCTTGTAGTTTAATTTACAATGTAATCAGTTTATGTTCTCAACTGTAAAGATGTTGTCCCACTCATTGTGGAAAACTGATTTCTATTTATCTTGTTGTGATTTTTATTCAAACTTGGTGGTGTTTACTGTAGTTTTCTCATTTTACATTTTATTAAAAGCGATTCATTTTTACTATCGCCAAGGCTTTGAATACTATGTTCTTAGCATTTAATTCTTATGTCTAGTCTGTCTGTATATAGTATCATGACCACAAACAGACCTCTGCAACTAAAATACTTTATTCGGTACAGTTGTCAAACCATCATAAATAAACAATCTGAGGTCAGTTACTGAATAATAAACTTATTTGGATATTGGGACTATTATGTGAAACATTTGATAGTCTGAATTTCCTTTTCTAACATTTTTGTATAGTGTTCCATTACACACAGATAAACAAAGATTTACTTCTGTTCTGAAGTACTGCAAGCTGCAGTAATTCAAAACTAGGCAGAATTCTAGCAAATCCTCTTTTTTTTATTTGCTGCAATGTGCACAAATTTAGCCATAAAATATTTCGTTTAATAGTTCACAGACCCCAATAAAACGCTATAAAAATCTCTCAGAGTGCAAAAGACCATTTTTCGTTCATTGCGAGATTCTGCGTTATGTGTGAAAGCAAACATAAAAACAGGACGAACAAAGGTCATAGCGCTGGAATTTGACAACCACTAGCTTATTTTGGGGATATTTCCACGCTTTATAATGTGCTGTACATATTTGATGATGGTCAATTTCAATGAAGGGTATTTAAATTTAAATATTTTATTGTCAAAGATCAACATTTCAAATTTGAGCTATGAAAAAAGAAATTAGAGTTCAAAATCAAATCTTTGATTTTTCCGGCAGATTTTTGGTTCGCGTCTTTACGCAGTATGCAAGATCTCACAGTTGAACGGAAAACCACCTTGAGTGGTGTAACTAGGTTTCAATGACCTACCTGTGACCAAGTAGTCCATTATTAATCTATTCATATCCGCCCTTGTAATATGTAACGTGTGCAATTTTTCCATCCATTCATCAGGATCTACATCCTCTTTTTTCTCCTGGAAACTCATGATTCTCGTTTTCCACTCCAGCTTGACTGATTATGTGTTTACCTATACACCAAATAAAGAAGCAAAAGTCAATACATACATGTATCAATTCCTTTTACCTGATGTATTTACATTTTCACTGAAAAATGTTCTGTTGCAGATATATAAATGCAAAAATATCCACTATTATTAATATAAACAGCTTTAATTTCAAAATAAACTAAAGTAGCAGTGACGTCACTAGGCCTGAGATTCACAGTGACAACAATGACTTACAGTATTTAGATCATGTTACTGAATTAACTAGTGCCAATTCAGCATTATTTTTCTTTTAAATTGAGAACCTTATCTCTAAGGCAATAGGTCAAAAAAACATGTGGAACAAATCAGTGGCTCAGTTATATTTTAATAGTACGGTAGCATCAAAACTTGTCTCAATTTGGTTGTTGCGGTCATAACAGTGAATAGATGTAGCCAAAATAGAAAGACATCTTGACTTGCATATTCCATCTTGTCAATCAAAAACGGATCCAGGAATATGCCAATATAGTGGACAGAAAAATAAGGTCATCAAACAGAAGCTCACAAACATTTAGCAGCATACAATGGAACATGCTGCTTTTGAACATATACACTTGCCATTGTTTACAATCATGTAGAATTTGCTGCAATTGTGTGTAACCTTTTGTAAAAATACAAAATTTTTTTTCTGTCGCTGAAGTACGACTTTAAACAGGTAAAGATGTATAGAGGTGTGATGGTTATGTGCAAGATCTGGATCCATGACATAGTCAAAGTGGGCGGTATTTATATTTAATCGCTGGCTACACACTCAAACATCGTCATGGTTTAAGCTATAGAAAAATGGGGTGAATGTGAACTCTTTTTCTCATTAAGCAGATGAGCAAAACATGAACAAGTTCAGTAATTGTCAGAACCTGCTCCGTCAAAATCTTAATTCTACTGTAAATTTCATGTTATGTGCTTAAATTGTCGAGAGCGAACAATCAAACTTCATTGATAGTGTACGCATGCATATACCATGTATTCTGTCTCGCGTAGGATTCATAAGATTCAGGATTCATAGTGGTGTTTGAGTGGGCAGCCAGAAACCAAATGTAAATAACACCCACTCTGATATCGTCATGGATCCAGGGCTAGCTATGTGTCTGTCCTTTAAGACTAGGAGAGTGATCTACATGTATGGTGGTGGTGGTTGGTTGATTTGTCCCAAAGCTCATTCGTCTACAGGTTTATTCAAAGTCCATTCATCCTATTTATTAGGTTAGCCCAATACTAAATCAGAAAAACAAACTGCATCTTATTGTGATCACACACTCATCGTACATACTAATAAACACGGTTAGCCAAACCCGCACCGCATAGAAGTCAAGAAGACCGAGCATACATACGTCAAAATGGGCACCTCATCTGACTCACTGCGACATCACTCTGCACGAGATCGTAAGGGTGACCAAAGGCAATGAGACGAAAATGTATTGGGATGAATGTGAACTGGGACGAAGATGTGAATCACATGTATATGCCTAATATGGTCCAAGGCCCTTTGGGCAGGGCTCCAGAAGGAGTACTTACACTTTATGCAATTTTATTAAAATTATGCTAATTTATTCATGACGTAGCAGTTTCTGTGCTCATGAATATTCATTAATTTGTGGGTCAATACATTTTAAAAGGGGCGATATATTATTTTTGGGGGAAGAGTTAGAAAGGGGGATTAGTAATCCTTAGGG